TATAATGTATTGAAATACGCTCAGTGTATTAAAGTGCATGTAAAAGCATAGGGTACATTTTTGCTGCAGTGATGACCGCCTGATATGTTAACATGCATTTTTTCAGTTGAAATATACATTAAAACTAAGGGATGAGTAATGCTTGTCTGGCCTATTTATCAACCTTTATTTTCATGGTAAAAGTCTTATTCATATATTCAAGAATGTATTTTGTCTTGATACGAATGCTGTGTACGTAAAATTCTAACATTTCAAGAAACTGGTTTTGATTTGTTGTATTTTATTTGTTGTATTTGAATATTCTCAACATTTAACCTTTTCAACAGATATTCATGCGAGAGTACCGATTACAATTATATCTACTAAGGGTTGCAGGGTTTCATGTGATGAAGTGCTGTTCTAAAATCTTAAAACTGGCATATTGTATTATGTTGAAATGCTTTCGCACCGTACACAACTGCTAATATGCAGATGTATGCAGCAAAAAAGTTCATGTACCCCAGAAAATGTTTTACGCTTTTTCAAAGAGTGGGATGTTCCACGTGTCGCATTTGGAAGTTACCACTGGCCCTCCATATTACTGAGATGAAAATGGAAAGCTGGATAAGATGGAATGACTGGATATCGTCAAGGAGAGCCGCTGTTGAAACAAATTATCGAACATATTTACTAATTGGTTACACAAATTAAATACTGAAATAAAATCGTCGAATTAAATACTGAAATAAAATAGTCGAATTAAGCCTATACGGTGTTCTATAAATGAAAAAAATATATATGAATTACATGCCTGTCAACCAAATATCACCCACTGCACATAAATTGTCCATGAAGATCATGAACCAATTAACAGAAAACGTGGTCGTTAACCAGCGACGCGAGCATGCTGGTTGTACACATTTCTCCAGAATTTAGAACATACTACATATACTATCCTATCAAGAAAAATGCACTGATCACATCTGGATTCGACATTAGTTGTGTTTTAAGGTAACACGAAAACAACCCTCTCGCTGTTCTACTCAGTCCAGTCCTTAGGACTGCGTTCCAGCCTGATCCCAGAGCTCGCGCACAATTACCGCAATTCGCATCGTAACCGGAATTCTGAACCCGACACCAACCCCACTAATTCCCTGTTTTGGTGAACATTCTGTCACCATATATCCGACATACAAAGCTGCAAGAAGAGGTCACGCGTCTTGCCAAAGACAACATATCCATCAAACAAGACCGTATTAATGTACCTCACCGCGGACTCACAAGTATCGATCCCCCTATTGGGATCGCATTGTCATCATCCTAGAATCTCACCCAGATCCAGAAAGGACGCTGGCGATCAGAGGAACAACGTGGACTTCCAGAATAATAAACACCTCTTTCGAGACCCGAGCATCGCAACCACATTGCCTTTGACATTCCTCTTCTTAAGGCACTGGTGGTGGAACAACCGCATCAGAGCATCAGCAAGCCCGATGCGCAACATCTCCGTCATGAATGGAAAATTAAATACGAGCCACAGTGCGACTGGACATGCAACCCAACGTATGGACCACGTAGTACAACTTTATTCTGAAGCCCTCTCGTGATTAAAGGGGCCTCGACATTGGCATTTAGCTGCTGCACATATTTCCATTTGCAAGAATAAGATTCTAAGAAAGACCATAACATCACATAACTGTCCATCCCTCATTAGTGCCTACCTACAACGTCCCATCACAAGGGAGAAACTAAAATAGGCATTTTTAAATTTTGCCCGTATTGGAACGGCTGTAACGCCTTATGGACCTGAAAACTCAACTTCCTTGTCCAAGAATACGGGCAAACCCGTATGGGTTGACAGCTATGATCAGGAGGTGGGTGTGGGGGCAACAGCCCCGGGTATCAATGTGAGCGTTTGACAGATTGTGGGTAGTCGGGCTGGTGTTTGTGTGAAGGTTTCTCCTCGTCAGTGGTGTTGGGACTGAATCCACTGAACCAGACTCGCGTGGATTTTTTTTGTCCTCCGGGTTTCCCCCCTCCACATTTTGGAAACATGCGTCTGTTTTATTTAGATTAATTTGCTGCGAAACATTTCCACGTGATAAACCACTTCGTTGAGCTATCATTTGTGGCCAGGTCGCTCCTGAAAAAGCTCAGAGCTCAGTGGGCTTTATTTACCTGGTAAGATTAAAACTAAAGTTTTACTTGTATGTATATTGTAAGTGATGTGTTTAACACGTAGGCTTTCGCGACCAATATCATCCATAATAGAGGCTTTTGGGTTAGATCGCGTAAATATATAAATGTGTCGTTAAAATCAAATAACAAGAGCATTGAAACTGCCCAAGTAATTAAAACGATCAATATACCGTACATTGCGGGAGTATACTCTTTGGTTCTTTCGGTAAAGTCACATCGATGAAAATAATAATAATAAAATGAAAATAACTAAATTAAATCACGACGTTTCGGAGGCAGCACACGTCATCAGGTGGAACAGCCACAGCAAAATTACTGAATTTTGGAAGCTTTGTGTTGCCTCCGAAACGTCGTGATTTAATTTAGTTATTTTCATTTTATTATTTGTTTTCATCGATGTGACTTTACCGAAAGAACCAAATAGTATGGATCCTTGCAGTCACGAAAACTTCAAATCTAGAATTGCGGGAGTAACTGATAAACTAGCCAGATGTTTGGGAAAACAAAACATCTGAGTCAGATATGGCACGGTACATAAAATACAGAATTTAATATCTGGTACAAAAGATGTATTACGGAAGCTATCAACAGAAGGTGTGTTTCAGGATTAACTGCACGTGTGGTAAATGTTATGTTGGGCAAATATGACGAATGATCAGCACGAGACTTAAAGAACATCAGAGAAATAATAAATTCTCCCAAATGCAATGTTCAGCAGTAGCAGAACACGTGTGCCAACAAGGACACAATTGATTTTGATGTTGAAGTTCTGTGCAAATCTAGCTACCCAGGCCAAGACTAATTAGATAATCTATCGAAATTGAAAGAAATAAAAATAACTTTAACCGTTCGGATAGTTACCGCCTTAGTGCTGCGTGGAAGCGAATAATAAAATAAAACATTATTTAAATTCATGCCTACAAAGGGCAGCGTACTTTAATAGGGATTACCGTTGGTAGGGCTATTTTAATAAACAAAATAGACAGGAAGGACAAGTTCAAAGTGCTGGCATAATGAACCTGCAAAAATATACGTGCATAATGTACATGCATAATGTGCATACATACCGTACATGCATAATGGACATGTATAATGTACATGCATAATGTGCATACATAATGTACATGCATGATGTACATGCGAAATGTGTATGCGTGATGCACGTGCATAATGTACATGCATAATGTACATGCATAATGTACATGCATAATGTACAGTACATAATGTACGTACATAAAGTAAATGCATGTTCATACATAATGTACATGCATAATGTACATGCGTAATGTTTATGCATAACTATACATGCAAAATGTACTTGTATAATGTACGTAGACTCAGTAATCCCCCCCCCCCCCCCCATCATTGCGCAAGGAACGAAACAGAAAGACTCCACAAATCTGGCTGTCGCCTGATGAAGCTGGCTGTAATTACTGGCGAAACGTCGTACTCGGAATGTAAATGTTGTGGCTTGGCTCTCTAACACACTGGTGTGCTTTACTAGTACACTATACAATACACTAAACAACTATACACTACACTATACACTACTTTATACACTACATAACTATACACTACACTATACACGACACTACTATACACTACACTACACACTACACTATACACTAAACACTAGTGCTGTACTAGTGACGAATTGGCACGTTATGTTTACGTGACAACCCTTACTAGTTGGCTGTGTCGGGTGGTGGCGGGTTTTAACGACACATTCATATATTTACGCGATCTAACCCAAAAACCTCTATTATGGATGCAAGTGATTTGTTTACAATTCCTATGCTTTGCACTCGTATCGTGTTTTTTTTGTATCGTTTGTTGTAACGTTATGACCTGCCCCTGCTGGACATCTGTGAAGGAAAGAGCTGCTTTATAGCTCATCGGATTCCTCCACTAAAAACAAACCTCGTGTCACACCCTCCCCGCATCACCCGCGATTAGCGAACACATCCGGGGACTCGGCGCCTGGTGGGGGGTGGGGAGGGTGCGAGGGGAGGGTGCGGGGGGTGGGTGCGAGGGGAGGGTGCGGGGGGTGGCGGGGGATGGTGGGGGTGGGAGGGTGCGGGGGGTGGGGAGGGTGCGGGGGGTGGCGGGGATGGTGGGGGGTGGGGAGGGTGCGAGGGGAGGGTGCGGGGGGTGGAGGGGGGAGGGTGCGAGGGGAGGGTGCGGGGGGTGGCGGGGGGAGGGTGCGAGGGGAGGGTGCGGGGGGTGGTGGGGGATGGTGGGGGATGCGGGGGGTGGCGGGGGGTGGCGGGGGGTGGGGTCGCTCGCGCGGCGCGCGCTCGACTTTCCCGCCAAAAGCCAGGCGCACAACATGGTGGCCGCGGAGCACGCGTGCCTCGGCAACGCCGGCACTGTCGCTTAATACAGATTAAAATATTTACCCCCCCCCATAAAAAATATATTACATCGAAAACGCTAATAATATAACGAGGCAAAATTTATTCATGTTTTAATAGGAATATTAAAATTAAGACGTGAATGAAGTAAAATTTATTCTAATTACAGTCGATGGCGAGTGAGTTGGATCAAACTGCACGAGAGAAAAAAATCGCGTTCTGAAAAAATAGTGCGCGTATAAAGTTACAATATTCAGTCGCGCACTTCACAGCCACCGCGATTTTTTGTCGGCATTAATTCCAACATACCTTGCGCGGATAAAAAAAACCCTCAAGACTATTCAATGAACAGTTTCGCAAATGAACTTATTCGAATTAAACGAGAAGCATCAGTTGTAACCTTTGACTCCGCCCCCCCTCCCCATCCTCCACGCGCCGGGTGGGGCGTGCGCACTTCCGCTCTGTATCCCTGCGCGCTTCCGGCGGCTTGCCAAGCGGTGCAGCGGCTCGGCCTCGTCCTCCTCTTCGTTGCCGCCGCCGCCGCCGCTGCCGCCGCTCACCACCCCTCCTCCGTTTCGCTGCAGAAGTGACGACCTCCAATCTCCACTCGTCGTCTTCGGTAGTTCAACGAGCGCCTCGTGCTGCTGCTCCTCTCGCTTGAGCCGAGGCTGAGCTCCCCCCCCCGTCCCGTCGCCGGTCCCGCCTGCGTCTGTCCCCCCACCCCGACCCCCTCTTGCTGCTGCAGCATGGAGCTCATATCCATCCTGGAGAAGACCGTGTCTTCGGGTGGGTTGCTCGGCCGCGGCTTCTTCACACGCTCGCACAAACGCGCGCGCGCGCCTTCCTTTGACATGTATGCACACATACGCGTGTGCACGTTCAAAGACGGCGATGAGATGCGTCTGCGCATAGAGACGCATGCATATTACACGCGCGAATTATATGAGCAGCGAGCATCACTGTTTCTGCCGAGTACATTGGTGGTGGTGGTGGTGAAGATGCTGCTGAATATGATGGTGGTGGTGGTGGTAAAAAATTGTGGTTGGTGTGCTGGTGATGATGGAGGGCAAGACGGTTGTGATGTTGAATGATGCTATTGAATGAACATGGTTTGGATGATCGCGATGATGATGGTAATGAAGATGATGGGAACGATATTCGTTATGGCTGCGTCGAATGATGTCGAGAGTAGCGATGTCCGCTGATTGCAGTGACGATGATTGTTGAGTCGCTAACGGCCCTGCGCCCCGCGTAGACCGGAATGAGCGGGAGTCGGCCCAGAAGTTCCTGGAGCAGGCGGCTCTGGAGAACCTGGTGAGCGATGCTTTCTTTTGTCACTGTGCTTGTGGGGGTCCCGATAAAGAAGCTGGGGGGGGGGGGGGGGGACTGCTTGGGCTGCGTCCCTTGGGCCGCGTCCCTTGGGCCGTGGGCGAGGGCTTCCCCCGGGGTCTCCTAGGCCTAGGCCTCACGTTGCCGGCGGGCGGGACCAGGCCCCAACATGGCGACAGCGGCGGCAGCGTATAAGCCCCCCAGATTAAATCACGATTTAAACAAACTTAAACATGCGGCCACAAATATACGCGTGCCAATGTTCCCGCGGGGATCTTCACATATCTGGCGTCCCGTTGAGTGCTGAAAGGAAGCGATTTATTTTTAATTCATTTTCTTTGGTCATGCAAGCGAGCAAAGTTGCCTTCTCAGACGCCCCACGAGGCGGAGCCGAGTTGCTTCATTTTTTTTTTACGAGAAGGAATGGGATGAGCTATGTAGGGTTTCGTTTGTGGGACCCATGGGCTAGAGATATTTGGCTGTGAACAATGCGGGAGTTTAATTTGGTGGGTGGGGGGGGGTTGTGAACGGAGGAAACCGAATTTACGTTGGGGCCCCAAGTCCGTTTTCTTTCGCCGCCCAACGGCCACGTGTGGGCACGCGGAAGCCCCTGGCTGCAGGTGGTGGAGGGGTGGTGCTTTCGGTGTGCTGTTGAACTAGTCAACAACAAAATAATATTCATGAATGAGTAGTTGAGGGTCGAGCACCAAATGAAAAGGTCCCTGCTTTGAAATTTTTGGATGGTTCCAATGAAAGACTTGCGAGATTTGGAGAAAACCCACTGCATATCTAGGTGGTGACATGGCCAAGCGATAGCGGGTTCGTTTCTAGTTGCATTGGTTAAAGATTTAAATCTAGAGGCCCCTGAATATTACTTCGGGTGTAATAACCATCAATATGCGCCGTCTGCTGTACGATGGACGTTAACGATCTCATGACGTCATTCGGAAGAGTAGGCCCATTGTGTGTTGGGTTTTACAAATTTTCCAAATTCTAAATTGCTGTATTGATATTATACATGGTAATAATTATCAGCGAATTACTGTGTTGATATTATACATAGTAATAATCGCCCTCTTCTGGCAGACTTATGCCTCATTACTCATACAAATCTGTAAGATCCCACAACCCTTGCCTCCAAAGTGCTGTGTTACAGGTGTCACCGTGCCATGCTTTCTTCAGTCTGGCACACTGCTCCTCTGAAAACTATTCAGCCATTAATTACAGTTTTTAGGTTCCATGAGGCGCAGTAATGTCCATGTTAATGGGTGTGACTTCGCCATGTATGAGAAAGAGGGAACATGTAGGGTTGGGCTCCAGTCAGTGTTACTGATTGGCTGCTGACCTGTTTTCAATGCAGCATTACTACAATAGTCACACCTTTCCATTGTCTGGAGACCACATGGTACAAACCACGTGAGTGAACCAAACCAGTGAGCTGCATTTCAATAGTAAATCCCTGTTTAGAGAAGGCACTGAAATTTATGAACGAACGCTCTGTGACATTGGAGAAGTGCAATTTTTTTTGCTATTTGTCAGTCATCACGCTAGACAGCCTATCTGTCCTAATTGCTAAAAACTTTAGCCCAATGTATATTTTTTAATTGTGCAAGAAATTTAACAATAGTGCGTGTTAAGTAGCATGTCTGAGTCTTAAGGTCGCTGAGCAGTTTATCGTATTTTATTTTCTTGCCCTTGACGTGCAGCCACTCGTAAAGCTTTGAGGTTAGCAACCCGTGTCATTGAAAAGCTTGAGATAAAATGTCTGATTAGTTTCTTGCAATCTCGCCCTTCAGGCCACCTTCCTGCGCGAGCTCTCAAAAGTACTCGCCAACCCAGGAAACAGCCAGGTGGCCCGAATGGCATCTGGCCTCCAGATTAAAAATGCCCTCACCTCTAAAGACGTGGAGGTGAAGACACACTACCAGACCCGCTGGCTGGCCATCGATGTCCCAACGCGAATTGAGATCAAGGCATATGTAAGTAATTGTCTGCTGTTGTCTTGGTTGCTTTTTCCATGGATTTTCCTCTTGTTTTTAAAAACTTTTTAAAGTATTTCTATTACACGTTTGTGTTTTTTATTAACTTTTAATACATGTTTGTGATAGTATTGTGTTAAGTACCCATATGTACAATAAGAGGTCCTAGCAAACCTCTATATTAATATTTTAAAACAAGTAAAACATTGTTTCGTTTCATACTCTAGGAATAATTGTTTCAATTGATAACACCATGTTCTTTGCCTCATTATTTTTTTATGGTGTAACCCTAGCCATGTATTGAGGCATATTGTGGCACTGCCTGTGCTAATGCAGGTTATACAGAGCTTGGGAACAGAAGCATATCGTCCGAGCTCAGCGGCGCAGTGCATTGACGGAATCGCGTGCGCCGAGATCCCCGTGAACCAGTGGCCGGGGCTCATCCCTCAGCTCACCGCGAACGTGACCGCACCAAACAGCACGGAGCAAATGAGGGAGGCCACACTCGAGGCCATCGGTTATATCTGCCAAGATATTGTGAGCATTTGTCACCTTAAATCATAGCATGTTTTCATTAAAATTGCTTTTTTATCACTGACCAAAACCTTGTCTGTACTTGTGTTAAAGATGTTATGTATCATCATTAGCCATGATCTGCTGCTGGATGAAAGCCTTCCCAAGCTGGCGTCATATCCCCCCAGGGGCTTGCGATTTCAGCAATCGTATCGCATCTGGGCATGAGCCGAGTTCAACATTGCATGTTCACAGGGGGTGATCTCTTGGGCGTGTTCCCTCATCTGGCTGCCACTCCATAGTTTGACCACCGACCAATCTGCTCGCGTCCAACCCCAGCCTATGGTTTCCTCTATCTGTATCTCAGGGTAATTCTGAGTGTTTTTCTTGTCGTTTTCCATGTTGGTTGGTTTCAGTGGCAATTGTCAGATGCAGTTTTCACCCATTTGCCTGACTTGTTATTTTATTGAAATTCCATGCCATTTGACTCGGTGATCAATTATGCTATATTGTACATAACGAATATCATTGTAGTATACATTCATATATATTTTATTTAACATTGTCTCAGACATAAGTTGGAAAAATATCAGCAACCAGGTGACATTTTACAGCTAAAGCCATAATAACAGTGACTTTATGCATCATGCCAAAATTATTACAGTTTTAGTTATGGAAGTGAAACTTGCTGTTGTATGGAAGCAATTCTTTGTTGATGATGAATCATCATGCACCATGCTGATGATCACTTAAGTGAAATGACCACAACAGTGCTGAGACTAAACTGTGTCTTTAAAACTATTTAAGAGAGCTTGCAGGTTTTTCTTACTCTTACATTACATTATAAAAAAAATAATGTGGGTCTATTTACACTTCCTAACCAAACTCTCTGTCTTGAGATCACGAGTCTTGTGCGGGTGGTTGTTTGAACGTTTGCAATAATGCGCGCCCATATCTCGTTGCAAATGGGCAATTGTGTGCTCAGGAGCCCGAACACCTGCAGGACAAATCAAACGAGATCCTGACGGCGATCATCCAGGGGATGCGCAAAGAGGAGCCAAGCAACAGCGTGAAGCTGGCAGCCACCACCGCGCTGCTCAATTCGCTCGAGTTCTCAAAGGCCAACTTTGACAAGGAGGTGATTCTGCATTCACACCTGTTTCACTGATCCTCTGATGACAACTCACAGAATGATAACCTTAGGAGACGAGATCGTTTAAAACACCTCGAAATATGTGTTTGATATGTGTGTTCTTTTCATGTGGCAATTGTTGCGGTGATCGGCTGTAATTGTGAATTTTTTACATTTTCCTTTCCGTAGAACAAATTTTGTGTCCAACTTTGTAATTACTAGCCTCAAAATCTTCATTAAATATTTTTACGAATCACTATCGTTGAGCATTTAGAGATCTTTGGTTGCATGCTTTAGCTCCATATACAGGTATCCCTCGATTTTTGAATGGAATGCTTGCTTTACAAAAATAATGCAATAATCTCAATGGCTTTTCACATTAATTTAATAAAAAAATATATAGGGATGTGTTTTGGATAGTCATTCCAACTCTACTCTAAAAAATACACCTTAATTGCTTTTCACAAAAAAAATGTTTATGACATAAATGTTAAAACCAATGAATAGTAACCTTTTCAGGGAACTGCATGTTGGAATGATTGGAAAGTTGATGTGTGGAGGCTTTACTTTTGCACTGTCAGGTTACAGTGACGTTACAGCGGATGGATGACGCAGCCTCCCGGGTGCTGCTTGTTTGAACTCATGGCACGTGCCATTGTGAAATTTCGTTGACATGGAAATTCGATTTTGCAAATAGAAAAGCGGCCATAATTTGTCAATTGCATATAAAAAAAATTCAATCGAGGGATACGTGTAAATTTAAGTTGTATGTGCAAGAATGTCGGTGTGAGCGTTTGTTGGACTGTTAGTTTGTATATTAAAAAAAAAATCAATACGAAATATATTTTGTAACTACTTTCTTCATTGTATTTGTAAGAAGTATAATTCAATATGGTATTTTTCATACTCCCCATCCTAACCCAATAGTCTGAAAGGCACTTCATTATGCAAGTCGTGTGTGAGGCCACCCAATGCCCCGATACAAGAGTAAGTAGTGACGCTTCAAACAAATCATGTTTTTTACAAACACATTCAGTCCGTGCAATGTTATTCTGGAGCTTTGTTGGTGACGTTATGCATATTGTTTTAGGTGCGAGTGGCAGCCCTTCAGAACCTGGTGAAGATTATGTCACTCTACTACCAGTACATGGAGACATACATGGGTGCAGCTCTGTTTGCTGTGAGTACCCCTATAGTTTTACACAGTAGCTTTCGATGTGACCTAAAGCTTTCAGTGGCCACGTGACGATGCAAGCATGACTCCCCTGGCCGTCAAAAAATTGCACAGATGATTCACTTGTGGCTTGTTGAAATATTTCAATAACATGTTTGAAACGCGCGTTAATTGCAGTGGGGCTGTCGTCACGCTGTCGAGTGTTGTAATTCGGGTTGCCAATTAATTTTTGCATTGTCCCCAGATAACAGTGGAGGCAATGAAGAGTGACAATGATGAGGTGGCACTCCAAGGAATTGAGTTTTGGTCCAACGTTTGTGACGAGGAGATGGACCTCGCCATTGAGGCATCAGAGGTACAGTGCAACAGCTTTTTCATGATTTTGGTCACATTCATAATTACAGACATGTATGCCTTGACAACTACACTTTAAATAATTTTGTAGCGTCCCATGTCACGTTTTCCACGATTGAAAGAACACAGTGGCTGTTTGAATACAATTATATTGTATCGATGTGTAGAAGTCTCAATATATAATGGAACATTTTACTGAATGCCTCACTGGTTGATGATGAAATATCATGCACCACGCTGACAAGTGTGAATGAGAGAGATATTAAACAAAATTGCTGAAATCAGTGGCATTCCATAACTTGAGAATACAATTTAATTAAGATTTTCATCGCTGTGTTTTTTTATTTTGGCACAAAATATAAAGATTAATTTCAGTGGGTATTAAATCAACACCTTGTATGCCACCCTATGGCAATTGCATTTCTTGTATTTTTATTGAAAAATGTTTTTGCTCAAGTATACATCGTATACTTAACAGCTATGTAAATATAATGAAGCCAACGCATGTTTCAACCGAAGTTAAATATTTGCATTAGATCTCTGGAAATATATTTGCTCTGCTGCTCTTCTGCTCAAAGCTGTAAAGAAATAGGTCAAGACTCGCAAGTGTCCTTTTACCACCTTGCGAGATTGTGTGAACTGGTGAAGGTAGCCAGAGCAGGCTAACTTAATCTGTGTGCGTGTCCTCACGTGGGTTCCAGGCAGCAGAACAGGGCCGTCCACCAGAGCACACGAGCAAGTTCTATGCCAAGGGGGCCCTTCCGTATCTTGTCCCTATCCTCACAGTCACACTCACCAAACAGGTACTTTTTCACAGGAATATTTCTCCACAATTATGGCTGATGAGATTGGTTGTAATTACTGGCCAAACTTTTGTACTCTGATTGTAAATGTTGGGATTTTACTCTCCAACACACTGGTGTGCTGAACTAGTAACTAATGGGCATGTTTTGTTTATGCAACAAACCTTACTAATTGGCTGTGTCGGGTGGTGGCGGGTTTAACGACAGATTTATATTTACACAATATAACCCAAAAACTTCTAAGGTACTTTGCACATGGCACATGGAGTGATCCAAAATCTTTGCAGACACTCTTTGGTGTTTTCAGTGTCACAAACTTAAGCAGGTCACAGAATAAGCGTGCAAGCATGCTTTGTCTGGTGTCATGCGCCTGCATGTTACTTAATCACTCCCCAGCGCGGTGCTACCCCACATATGGCCTCCAACCACGTGTATGTACACTGTTTGCCAGCTGCGTGCGTGACCCCACTGGTCTCATTCGGGCACGGTGCACATCTACGGACAGCGCAGGGTGCATGGGTATCAAGTGCATCTTGCACAGTGATGGCAACAGCTGGAATCTACTGCACGAGAGTGTGTTTGCCAGTTGCCCTGGCACTTGTTGTGCTGTCCCGCTGAACAGTGCCGCGGGCGTGCGTTGGCATTCTTGGTGTGTTTTTACACACGCGTTAGTGGGAAGCCCGTGAGGGCAAAACACGCATCTGCAGCCTGCATCAGCACCTGCGAAACCGATTGCTCTTGGGAGTGCTGTGTTAACAAACATACTTTAAAATTGTAGCCAATTATAAAAAAAATAACTTTAAAGAGCACTAAACAAAATGCTGTTTATTGGTATGTTAACAGGTCTTTAAAGTTGAGTCAAGTTGTATATAAATGTGGCATTGCGTGTGCAAGATGCACTTAGTATATGGGCTTGTAACTGGCCAGGTCTTTTGCTCACTGTGCAATGAATTGTGCTTACTTCGGATTTAACTCGTGCAAATATTACATCTAAGTTTTTGAACTGACTAAAACTGTACAAAATGAGATTTAATACGAATAAGATGGTGAAAAAAATACATTCGTTTATTAATCGATGCCTGTCAACGAATAATAATTGGTCGAATTGTTGCGAGGAGGAGTGAATTGTTGGATGCCAAATTAATAAACAAAAACCTTGGGTTGTGGAACAGTGCACCAAAATGCTACTATACTTAAAAAAATAACATCATTAATGCATAACTCTGGGACTTTCACCTTCATTCTCATACTTTTTAAATTCTTATATTGTACAATAACTGGTCAGTGATGAAAGAACATGCACCACGCTGATACATGTATGATTGATTCAACGTTTTTCTGAGACCAGTGAAATTGTGCTTTATTACAAATAATTTAAATTTACGAACATCGTTTCCTGGAAGCTACTCGTGTGTCATTGTAACCAGTGTCATTGCATCTACAAATATCTGCACAAACCTGAATGTACCTCTGGAAGGACCTCAAAAACACTTGTCATGAATTTCAGAATTGAAAGAAATGTAAATATTTGTTAACGTTTAATCTGTTTGTGCACCTACACCCGAATTTTACATGCTGCCTAAAGGTGAAAAGCACTTATCGAAACAATTATTTCAGTTATGCATTATCTTGCAGCCTAGGTTGATAATAAAAACCCCAGTCGTAGGTTATTATCGTTAGATTTTGTGTGCTTATTTTGCTCGTAGTATCGACCTTCTGAAGCCTAATTTTACAACAAGCCGCAACTACACGGGTGTTGGGCATGTGTTTGGGTTTGTGTCATGGCATGCCATTGTAAATTGTTCATAATCTCAAATGGCTTTTCATCTTTTGAAACGTCTAGGCGTTTGTGCCAAGTACTATTTTATTTTTTCAGGATGAAATGGACGATGACGATGACTGGAACCCATGCAAGGCAGCGGGCGTGTGCCTCATGCTGCTTGCCACGTGCTGCGAGGACGACATTGTTCCACACGTGCTCACCTTCATCAAGGACAACATCAAGAACCCTGACTGGCGCTACCGAGACGCTGCTGTTATGGCCTTTGGCTCCATCCTTGAGGGGCCCGACCCAAACCAGCTCAAGCCTCTTGTTGTACAGGTACCTTATTTTTTTAATGTGTGCTGTATAATGAATATGAAAGTCTATTTTGAGCAAGGGTTAACTTTGGCCGTTAAGTTGACTACTTATTTATGGAATTAGATCGATTAATTTTGATCAACTTAGTGCTGTATAAAATTTGGCATTAACATCTGGCTATACATTCCATTGAATGACTTGCCAGGCTCATTTCAAACTCTCAATTTTTTTATGAAGTTTATTTGAAGCAGAGTTCCTACTGTTGGTGTATACGATGACACTGCTCTGTGCCATGTGGTGTGTGCACAGGCGATGCTGACGCTCATCGACCTGATGAAGGACCCGAGCGTGGTTGTACGTGACACGACAGCATGGACCGTGGGCCGCATTTGCGAGGTCCTGCCAGATGCGGCCATCAATGAGATGTATCTGGAGATGCTGCTGGAGTGTCTTATCCAGGGACTGAGTGCTGAGCCTCGCGTCGCCACAAACGTTTGTTGGGTGAGTCGCGTGAGCAGCCGTGATGTGGCTGCGGCGACGGGAGATATGCATGGGCGATTTGGAGAGCTGAACTTGGCCCACTGTTCCATACCCTAACTATCAATGTACTGTACCCAGTGCCAGTTGCCACTGAGCTCACAGGTCAACGGAAATGCTTGATTCATGTGGAAAGCTCATGAGGGCTGAAGTTGCCCACCCCACGCTTTATGGAACCACTTTTGCATGATAAAGTAACATGGCCAATAGAAAAAGTGCACATTTTGGTAGATGGTTTTCATTAATTATCAAACTTGTGTGAAACATAAAAAAATTATCAAGCCACCCATCCTTTACACGCCTGTATCTGCAATGTTGCTGACAAGAGGCTTCACCTCCAAACACTGTGGGTGTTATGAGCTTCCCTGTGGATGGGTTTATGATGTACAGATGTGCACACACTGCATCTTAGTGGTCTGAGCACATGCTTGACACTGGTTTTATAGTTGATCAAAATCCTGTTAATGAACCTTCAAAGCGGATGATTTTAAAGCATCAATCAATGTTGAACTTCATGCTTCTCTTACTGCTGCAGCATTAAGGTCTTTGATTTAATTATTTTTGGGCGTGCTTGTTGCCAACATGTCCATTTTGTTTCAAAAGTTGTGTATCAAAAAAATATCCGACTGCTGTCCCTGGTTTTTGGTGATTTTTGTTTTAGTCGCCAAGTTTATATTACATGTTATAAGCGTGGGTGGAGAAAGGAACTGTCTTCTGAATTTGCAACTTATCAAGGTATTGCCGATACAAGTGGTCTCAATCCCAGCACAAGTGGTGGAAAGTCTCACGTAGAACTAGGGGCTTGCTCAACTGTCCCGAAGTGAGATAAAAAACACAGATTTATCGCGTGTCTTCTCTTTTAGGCATTCTCAAGTCTTGCAGAAGCTGCATATGAGGCAGCCGAAATCCTCGAAGACCAGGATGAGCCAGCAACCTACTGCCTCTCGTCTAGCTTTGAAGGCATTGTTCAGAAGCTGCTTGAAACTACTGACAGGTACACTTGCCCGTTCCACTTCTACAATAACGGTTCAGATGTAATTGAATGCTTAGGCCTGTAAGTTTAATGCACCGACTGGATCATCTACCGCATGGTGTCTGTAAATAATGATGTCCTCCACATACGAGCAATACGGTTACACTTGTTCGAAAGAAAGTATTTAAGTTTGCAAATCACAGCTGTCATTTGAGCTGGACAATAGGTACATTTGTGATGTAAGCAACGGTGCTCAACAGTGCTGCTGTTTATAGTCAACTTTGTCCCTCTGGCTGTGCGATGAATCAGATTGCCGCAAATATCTAACACCAGCCTTTAATACCCCTGTTGCGTGTTCACTTGTTTGGCAAATGATGACGTTTTGTTTCATAAAATATAGATTTAAAGCTGTTTTTTTCAGCCAAAGTGGCCATGATGAACTAATATTGGTAATTTTGGTCGTGTATATTTACATGGAAATATTTGTTGGAAACTATCTTCTACAGAATAAGATTCTGCCTTTCCTTGACTGCATGATGTAGCTGCTTTTGCAGAACCTTGGGTTGTGGAACAGTGCACCAAAATGCTACTGTACTTAAAAAAAAATAACATCATTAATGCATAACTCTGGGACTTTCACCTTCATTCTCATACGTTTTAAATTTTTATATTGTACAATAACTGGTCAGTGATGAAAGAACATGCACCACGCTGATACATGTATGATTGAATCAACGTTATTCTGAGACCAGTGAAATTGTGCTTTTTTACAAATAATTTTAATTTACGAACATCCTGGAAGCTACTCGTGTGTCATTGTAAACAGTGTCATTACATCTACAAATATCTGCACAAACCTGAATGTACCTCTGGAAGGACCTCAAAAACACTTGTCGTGAATTTGGGAATTAAAAGAAATGTAAATATTCGTTAACGTTTAATCTGTTTGTGCACCTACACCCGAATTTAAATGCTGCCTAAAGGTGAAAAGCACTTATCGAAACAATTACTTCAGTTATGCATTATCTTGCAGCCTAGGTTGATAATAAAAACCCCAGTCGTAGGTTATTATCGTTAGATTTTGTGTGCTTATTTTGCTCGTAGTATCGACCTTCTGAAGCCTAATTTTACAACAAGCCGCAACTACACGGGTGTTGGGCATGTGGTTGGGTTTGTGTCATGGCGTGCCATTGTAAATTGTTTATAATCTCAAATGGCTTTTCATCTTTTGAAATGTCTAGGCGTTTGTGCCAAGTATTATTTTATCATGATGATTTAGAGTTGTTTAAGAGCAATTTTTCAATGCTAGCATAAGATGGTACTTGTTTTTATAACAGTGACTGCTTTCTAGATGGGGTTCATGGAACAAATTTTCTATCATTGCTTCTGGATATAGCAAATTATTCAATACATTTTAAAAGCAAATATGTAACAATAACGTTATGAAATTTAAATGGCACGATATAATGCTGTACTCATAGGCTGGTGTGAATTTTGTTCATCCATATTTTACACCACAGTGATTGTTAGGAGGGTTGAATTTTTACTTTGAGCATGAACATCATCCATTCTAGTTCAAATTGTCCTTGAATTAGAACACGAGTAGTAAGTTACAAGTGGCCCCGTTGTGTTTCTGTGGCAACCCTAGGCCCGATGGGCATCAAAACAATCTGCGGAGTGCGGCGTACGAGGCCCTGATGGAGATTGTGAAGAATAGTGCCAAGGACTGCTACCCGGCCGTACAAAAAACCACCGTTGTAATCATGGAGCGGCTGCAGCAGGTCCTGCAGATGGAGGTATGTGCTGCGGTGAATCTGAAAAAGGAAAAATCGCGAGACACGAGTTGGCACGTCTATTCAATTTTAAAATGTACACGTAGCATTATTTAATTGTATGTAATATACATACATTGAATCATGCATGTAAAAGTCAATTATTATTTTCTATGATTAAAAACTTCATTCTTTTCCCTTCAGTTTATTGTTTTTCGAATGAATGAGACTTCAACTGAATGTATGTGACAGGCGGTACAAGATGAAACAAAAATCAGGTTTCAAAAATTATATGCTACAGACAAAACATTACAAATGGGACAATAGACAAATATCCTTCTGCTTTGGTATCCTAATGCTGGATTCACACAGGATAGCTTTGCAGATAATGAAGAGCAACAGTGACGATAACCTCATTTAAGTGACGTAATGGTTGTCAAGTTAACATGTTGCAATATCTGCAAGGTGTTGGATTGGTGTGAAGTTGTAGCCGGTTTGGGTGGGGAAATGTTGGCTCGTCTTAAGTGCTCTACATCCAATGAGAATTGAATAAAAGGGAGTGCATATCCATGGCTGTATGTCTATAAAGAAGTTTATTTCAAGGAAACAAGTCACAACAATTATTTGCATAGTATTTGTGTAAAATTGTGAGTTTATGGTATGTTTGTTAGGGTAGAGGGTGGTGGGTGTAAAATGTTGGATGCCTGGGCCAAGTCATTTCATAAGTAGTTTCATTTCAGAGCCTAGTCATTTCATTTCTGAGAACTGTTGATGTGCCATTTGAAATGGTGTTTCCATTTTCAATCGAAAAGGAAAACTATTTTGTTGCATGTCTATAAAATATTGTGCTTTGGGCTTGGTGTAGGCTATACATTGTGTGATTGTTCAGTGGTAGTGTGGAAACGTTTATATAACATGAGGCACATAATGTTGTCTCCAGAATATTATATTGCGGTGGCACCCAATTTTCAAGCAGCCTTTGAATGTCCATATATTGCATCACTGCTTAATCCTGAGTACCAACCCTCCCCATCCCGCTGAGCCAGCAACACACATTTATCAGGCTGAGAAATGAGAAGGAAGGGGATCAATCCTTCCTGATAGCAAGCAAAGATAAGCCTCATTATACCACAACTCCCTATTTGCGATGCACAGGTCATTTCTCCCTGCTGCAACAATGGGCAATCACTCTATAATATCTCGGTAGTCATTGTATTGTCCTAATCGTGAACTTGTTTCAGTTTGCTCATGAGCCCATCCATTCCCGCTTGGGGTGTTGGCTATTTTTGCCAATGAGTGATGTGCAGGGACTTATTGGTGCACAACTTGTAATGGGACTTTGATTGCAGGTGCAAAAAATGAGCACACTATTGTCACAAGTAAGATGCTTGCTCCAGTGTCAACCTCCTAGTTGCCCCACTGAAAATCTCCTAGTTGCTCCACTGAAAATCTTTAGGCTCATTTACTTTCCTGATGTAATTTCATGCTTAAAACAACACTGAACACTTATCTGTGATGTGCATCCTCCAGCCATATTTCCCAACTTGCATTGCATCAGTGACTCGCTTTGAGGATTGCAAACGGTTATGGGTAGAAACTTGTTTTTTGGTTGCACAGTTGAATGTCGTTTTTTATTTACTACCATCTTCATATAAATTGTCAGTGTGGATTTTGAGAGTTGGTTACTTTTAAATCGGCACAAAATGAAATGACACTTAATGAGCAGTGGATTTTCATGATTTGTGTTGCTGCATTAATAAAAATGTTGCTTGCTATAAAAATAAAGCCGATTGCTTGTACCAATACAATTCATTCAAAGACGTACCCCAGGTATTGAATTGTTTTTTAGTTGGAGCTGAGCATTATACGTACTGTATAATTAGCATAATAGGGCATCAATTGCAGTTGCCCTATTAGGTTAATTGCTTGTGCTTTTGTTTGTTTTATTATTGTATTTAAAAGGTAAGGCTAGTATGTCCTGGATAAGGTTAATTGGATAACGTTAATTATTGCCGAGTGAGTTGTTTGCATATACTGTCAAAGGTCTTTGTAGGGCTGTGATTTCATCACGATCTTTTTAACTTGATTTGGCTTTGCAATGCATGTTTGTGTATCTTGACTGACAAATACATTCAGGGAATCATTGCATTATTCACTTGCTAATGCGTCCATATTTTGCATGTTTATTGGAAAATAAATTATTAGTTGGTCAAATAGAATACTTGCGATTTTAGTTTACAGCAATTCATGTATAAGTAACGGATTTGTATGTAGTTAATTCGATCTGGAGATGGACTTTTTCTGACATGTAATACTAATTGATTTTGTAATTATCAGATTTCGACATTGATTCTCTTGTGAGCTACAAATAATTTAGGTAATATTTGTCAGTTAACGTTTGCACGTAAATTTGTGAGAAATAAACCAAATCTAATCTACTTCATATATTAAATGGTAAATAATTGTTTTGAAAAAAATGAGTTCTTTTAGAAAGTTACTAAGGTTTTTCTCAGTAATTTACATGCACTCCTTGCAAGTTAGCCTTTTAATTGTCACATCACCCTGGCATCAAACCTGCCACTACAAAATGTCAACAATGCATGTGACGCTAGTATTTGCAGATATACAACTTATCACACCCAAATACAGGTCTGAATTTAAAGCGAATAGCTCTGGAACCCACGTGAATCTCTCAAAGTGCTTGCAAGTAGACCATCGTGGTCCATAAATTTCAGCACCATGCACTGAAATGTTTTTACGCCACGCTGCACGCAAACATAAAAGCTACTCTGAAAACATTGCACGATTTCTGCTTATGGAGAAGGAAGCTAATGGATATCGATGCATCTTAGTGCAGCCATCCAAATGTAAAATACTGTTTTTCCCTTACACCAACCAGGGAAATATGTTTGTGTTGTTTTTCAAATTTTCACTTTTGCTTTCGCAGTCTCACATCCAGAGCACGTCCGACCGACTCCAGTACAACGACCTGCAGTCACATCTCTGCGCCACACTGCAGGTGAGCTTTTAACATTATATGATCTTTTTAAATTTGTGCCAAAAATGGTAGCTTTTTTGTCAATTACAATTACCCTTACAGGTGACCCTTTGGGAAAAGGCAATGCTGTGTTGTTTGTTTCAATGGGTTTCTTTTAACGTCTGGTTTTATAAAGAATACAACAACAAGATATATGAACATACAACTTATAGATTAAATCCTTGCAATGACCATTATCTCAAACATACATCATTGATACCTGTTATTAACCATATTGCTCCAAACGAGCAACATGGTTACACATGTTAGATAAATAGTTGAAAGTTTGCAGCAAATCACAGCTGTCAGTTGAGCTGCGCTATTAATAGGTACAGTTGTGATGTGAGCAACAGTGCTCAACAGTGCTGTTGTTTCTAGTCAGCTTTTGTCCCTCTGGCCGTGCGCTGAATCGGATAGACGCAAGCATCGAGTGCCAGCCCGTAATTACCCCCTGTTGCTTTTACAAGTGTTTTGGAAAACGATGATGTTGGCTCTCCAACACACCGGCTTGCTGTACTAGTGACGAATTGGCACGTTCTGTTTACGTGACAACCCTTACTAGTTGGCTGTCTCAGGTGGTGGCGGGTTTTAACGACACATTTACATATATTTATGCGATCTAACCCATAAACCTCTATTATGGATGACGTTTTGTTTAATAAAATTTCGACTTTGCTGCTTTTTTCAAACAAAGTTGCAATGATGAACCCCTGTTGTTGTTATTTTTCGTTGTATATATTTACATGCACATTATTTAAAAAAATATATTTTCTGCAGAATAGGATTCTGCCTTTCTTGCAACAGCATAATGCGGCTGCTTTTGTAGAACTTTTGTTTGGTGAACGGTGCTCCAAAATGCTACTGTACTTTCAAACATGAACGTATCATTGATGCGTAACTCTGGGAGCTTTAATCTTCTCATACGTTTTAAATTCTTATATTGTACAGTAACTGGTCAGTGATGAAAGAACATGCACCACGCTGATACATGTATGATTGATTCAACGTTTTTCTGAGACCAGTGAAATTGTGCTTTTTTACAAATAATTTTAATTTAAAAATAATTTTCCTCCAAGCTACTCGTGTAATTGTAACCACTGTCATTGTGTAGTTGCATCATTAATTTTAAGTAGAAATGTGCCAAATTATGGTAGTTTCTGTTTATCATGATTACCTACCTACCCAGGGACCCCCGTTTTGCAAAAGAGGCCATTCTGTTTTGTATGTTTCAATGAACAACAAGATACAACATAAATGTATAGATTACCTCCTTACCATGACGATTACTCCAACATACATCGTAACTTGTAATCAAATAGGCTGAATGGATCAAAATGGTTGTATGTAATTACCTATATCTGCTAGGATGAGTGATTATTGATAGTTGTGTTCAACCTATTAACGGAAAACAGAGGCCTCTTCACACTTCTTACCATGGCTTATATAATTTTTTGGTTACAGTTGCACCCTACATCTTACATTCTCTGAGGCAGTCTTTGACAGGCCTCTTGTTGTAACGATGTCTGTGATGTTTTGGCTTGTCGCTTTCATTCCGTGCTTTTGGTTTTCGCACATTGCATTATCCCCGGGTGTTGGAGGGTGTCCTCACGGATGGGTGTGTTTGTCTTTGGGTAGAATGTGCTGCGCAAGGTGCAGCCAGCCGACGCGGTGCAGATTTCAGACGTAGTGATGGCTTCGCTGCTGCGCATGTTTGAGAGCACGGCCGGCTCGGGGGGAGTGCAGGAGGATGCGCTCATGGCCGTGGGCACGCTTGTGGAGGGTACGCCACAAAGCGTGCACAACACACGGGCACCTTCAGAATCTTCTACCCCACCTCTGACCAAATTACTCACAATGCGGCCCTGTATTGTCGGATCTTGCAAACTAAGTAGGGGTTGAGCCTATTTAGCGTACGGATGGACAACCACTGTGCGTAAAACAGGTTATTATTGCTATGTGGAACGATGCTGAGGGCAGTACGGGAAAAATATATTGTACTTTAGTATGCTCCCGCTTATGCTTCCCACCATTGTAACCCACACTGGTGAGCACGGTGAAATATAGTCAGATTACACTGACTACCCATGTCGGGTAGGGAGGCTCTCATCCAGCAGCAGTGGATTGACAAAAAGGCTCATGTGTAACTTTTGTACCCACGTTTGTCCCTGCATAGTATGGTCATACATTGCTGAACAATACTCGACAGACATTCCAAGCCAGTGACCTCAGAATAAAATACTGCCTTGTGTCAAATTACATTTTGTTTACTCATCTATGGAACAGTAATATTGTTTTAAAGGTTAAAATTCTAAGTTTTATTAAATTCGTGGAATATTTAATATCACTATCCAGTGGAGTTGAGCTTCTAATTGTTATTGTGAAATGTCTTGTTTCCTGTCAGTACTGGGTCCTGAGTTCCTCAAATACATGGATGCGTTCAAGCAGTACATGGCGGTCGGTCTGAGGAATCATGCGGAGTACCAGGTATTATATTTTCACGTTCCTCTTTCGATTGTTGGGGTGGGGGGGGGGCTTGCTTATCTTAGATTATTAGCTAATTGTGCTTCATAACCCATTTTTTGTGAGAATCGTCATTTCACTACGACTGACACTAACGTTGGGATAATGATGACATGGTCATCTCCACATGAAGAATATGGTTAGACTTGTTAGCTGAAAAAGTAAAAGGTTTGCAGCAATTGCCACTCGTCATTTGAGCTGTGCAATAGCTACAGTTGTAACGCAACCAATCGTGTTCAACGGTGCTTACCTTCAGTATTGTCCACGTGGCTTTTTGATGGATCGGCTGCAAAGATCAAACGCCTGCCTGTTCTACTACCACCTGTTTTGCGTGTGTTACATAAAATCTAGACGGCTGCTTTGTTCAACCAAAGTGGTTATGATGAATCCATCGTATTAATACTTTTTTAATGTGTATGTATATATAAATCTATTTACGAAGTGATAATTTCATGCGGCAAGATGAGGAGCTGTTACTGCGACAACTTGGAGAACTTGCGCCATAATTCACAAAATACGTTTTAATGCCTCGTATAGCACAATAGCTGGTCAGTGATGAAAAAACATGCACCACGCTGAAACATATGATTGATTCAACATTTTTCTGAGACCAGTAAAAATGTGCATTTTTACATTATAGTTTAATTTCTGAATTGTGTTGAGTGGGGGAAATACCAGAAATATGCTTTATAAGAAAATGCCAGATATAAGATGTTTTATAATATTGGTACGAGCCTATATATTGGCGCCAGATAAACCACGTAGATTTGTATATGCCTGTTTTAAAAGCCATTGGGAAAATGGTGTTCTCTGAATTTCGGAAGGACTGATGTCTGCTCTCTTGCCCACAGGTATGCGTGGCCACCGTAGGGCTCGTCGGTGACCTGTGCCGTGCGCTACAGATTAAGATTCTGCCTTTCTGCGACGACATAATGCAGCTGTTACTGCAGAACCTCGGGGTGCGTGGCCAGTATGCACCAACATACTACAGGACTTAAAAACAAAATAACACGGCTGTCATGTTAAACTTTGGAAACTTGTGCATTAATTGGCATAATACTTTTTAATGCTTTTTACTGAACATTAGCTGGTCAGGGATGAAAGAACATGCACCACGCTGATATGTGTATGATTGAATCAACATATTTCTGAGACCAGTAAAAATGTTCTTTTAAGTCGTCAATATTATTTTTGTAAAAACTGTTCCGTGCAAACCACTTTCATTTTTTGTTGCAGCAAGTGTCTGTTGTGTGGTATGCTGGAATATTAAGCCAAAGTTGCGATTTGAGGCACACTAGCCCTCTGTGTTGACCCCTTATTGCTAGCTCATTGCAGTATAAAGTGATAAAAAACATTTGTGTGTGTGTCTTTGTCGGCCTGGCCAGGATGAGAATGTACACCGATCAGTGAAGCCCCAGATCCTCTCGGTGTTTGGAGACATTGCACTGGCCATCGGCGGGGAGTTCAAGAAGTACCTGGGTGTAGTTCTCGACACTCTGCAGCAGGCCTCTCAGGCTCAGGTGGACAAGGTACTGCTTCACCATGTTACGTCTCTTTGCACATGCGGCTGATTCAGTAACCAGTGCCCTGCATTCTCAGCTTTGGGGAATAATGTATGGACTCGTTTGTCAGTGACATTTTCTGATCATGGTACCAGCACGTTTTAAAATGTTTTTTTACTGTTACCTTGGTCATAGTTTAGTGGCAATAAGTCTGCATTGTGTGGCTGTGGTGTGCGCTTTACAGACTGATTATGACATGGTTGACTATCTTAACGAGCTGAGGGAAGGTTGCTTGGAGGCATACACGGGCATCATTCAGGGACTGAAGGGAGACCAGGAAAATGTGCACCGTAAGTAAGCCACTGCCTTGCCACCCCTAACTCCTCGTCAAACGGAGTCATTGCATGTGCTCACTGCACATCGTCGCGTTGCTTGAGCTGGTCAGTGATGAAATATCATGCACCACGCTGACAAGCGCATGATTGACTAAACAATGTTATTCTGAGACCAGCAACAAGTAAAGTGTTTTGTTTAATTTGAATGTTGTGTTCATTGTTAACAATTGATTTACTTGTTATGTTTTGTGAGAGGGGTCTGTACTTTTGAGGTGTTTGATATCTTGGGCTATAGTATAGGGTGTAAGTGTGACGACTGCAGGGTAATGACAATTTATATTAAACTGTTTAGTGGAGTTTCCACATCATTGACCATGGCTGATCTGAGATAAGGACTCTTCTGCAAGTGTTGCCAAGAATAAAAATACAGTGCATCTTGCATTGTCAATAAAGGATTTTTTTTTCAGCAAATCTTACTCTTTCAGCAGTTCCGTTTTAGCCATTCAATGTCGTCTTTAATTTGCTTCTGCAGCGGACGTAATGCTTGTTCAACCCCGAGTTGAGTTCATCCTCTCATTCATCGACCACATCTCTCAGGACGACGACCGCTCCGACTCCGTCGTAGCCTGCTGTGCCGGACTAATTGGGTACAATCGCACCACATCCAGACACTCGTACTATATTAGAAAAAAGTTTTTCTGGCTGGATTCATGGTTGGCACATACGATGTAATGACGTCACCATGCACATCTGCGGAACGTCGCCTGCATCCCACAGTGATAAGCCGGGTTCTTGCTTCCTGACGTTAGGCCCCTCTCCCCCACCCACCTTTCACTCTGGCCAGCGATGAAGCCCGCGCAAATACGATAGCGGAGAGAGATGGAGAAGAGGCGGAGTGGAACGGAGAGGAGACAAGCGAATGAAAAGGGGGTGAAACGGAGAGGAAAGAGCAAAGTAGAAAGAGGAAAGTGATGGGAAACGACAAGCGGTATTGGGAGAATTAGGGAGGAGCGAGAGAGATTGAGATGGGAAAGGGAGAGAGGGGGGGGGAATAAGGAGAGCGAGGGTGAGTGGTGAGAAAGAAATGGAGAGAGATGGGGGCGAGGGAAGTGGCTGAGATACAGTGAAGCGAGGAGAGGCATTTAGAGGGATAGACAGGGGGGGGGGGGGTCACCAGGAATAGAGAAACATAAACAGACAAAGCGAGAAATCTCGATACATCGGGATATCCAGTACAGAGAGAAGCAAGAGAAAGTTCTCTACAAGACACCCAAGTTTTCCTGGCTGACTGGGAGGGATGGATGGACGGACAGCCATTTCCAAAGGACGTGCGGGTTTGCTAGTTTTGTAAAAATAAAACTGACAACCTGTGTGGTCGAATCGTATGACAGCTTGTGCCATGACAGATGGCTTTTGTGCCAGACATCAAGTGATTCAAAATAACGATTAGTGCACGTGTCATAATAATTCTGCTTTTCTTTACAGGTGAATTAAACTTTTTAAGAGATTTTGTTAAATGAATGCTTAGCAGGAAAATATTTCTGGTCTTGTTTTAAATTTGCTCAAATGCAATGCTGTGTTGCGGCACCTTCACACGATCTCTGCAGAGACCTTTGCGCGGCGTTTGGCAAGGAGATCCTGAAGCTGGTGGAAGCACGGCCCATGATCGCCGAGCTGCTCACAGAGGGCCGGCGCTCCAAAACCAACAAGACCAAGACCCTCGCCACATGGGCCACCAAGGAGCTTCGCAAACTCAAAAACCAGATCTGGTAACGTCTCACCGCACCCTCGGGTGGCCAGCTCACTTGAGAATTGACCCTCATAACACTCGTTTGCTTTGGAATTATGTAATAGCAACTGAACAAATGAAACTATCCGGCTAATATAAAAAGTGCAGTTGTGCATGAGCACGGTTTAAGTAACTTATGATACAATTTGTGCACGTTTCGCTTGCATGTGCGGCTGTTTGTCAGGATTATAACCCTGTTGAGGATGGTGTGGATTTGTTTTGAGCCCTTGTGTGTCTTTTACATTGAGAAAGGGGCCTTGTGGGGGGTGAATTTTGTTACATAATTGTCTTCCAAGAAACCTAACCATACACGTGATTCATCAGTCCCAAACAACAGCGAGGAAAAATCTCCCAAGTAATTGCACCACTCGATCAAATTCAATTTCAGGAAATTTTATTGCATGTGTCCTAACCAGTGAAACGGTTAGCATATTGAGTGATTTAAGTTGCTTATATTCAGTGCTTGACAGTGCTGTGCTATCCAGTACTTGCCTCGATGGTGATATGTTTACCTTCTCTGCCGACTTTTGTGAGGCATCTGTCACAATACTTTGTGGAACAGTTGTATATTCTGTTGAGCTGCTTGCTTCATACTTGTAATTAGATCTTGCAAAGAATTATGTGCAAATAATACACAGGAAAAGTAAACAAGTCTAAGGAAAAATCTTTTTTTTTCATTATAAAGTTACAAAAAAATATTAACTCGGCAATATCACGAGAATTAGCAGACATGTTTACTGTGTAGTAAATTAGACATTGAAGAAAAAGCACATTGGTAACAAACTCTTAAAATGCCATTCATATAATCGTAATCAAAAGAGACTGTGAATTTTACTCTGTTGGCAGCTACCATCCACATCCTCCTAATAAAGACACGCTAAATTAGGTATGTGTAAGTATGAATAATAGCAGCAGCCAGGGAAAGCAGTAGCTCCCAATTTAATTATAATTTACCGGCAAGCCAAATGCCCAATAGAGTAACATCATTTTTCATTGGGTATAAAGTATTTTTCTCGTCTCGCTTGCGTTGTGGCCTGCTGGGTGCTGCTTTAAGTTATGGTGTCCTGCTGACTTAGCCCTCTTCTTCTCAATGTGTTTCTGGCAATTTTGTGTTTCTGTCTTTGGTTCATGTGTTGATCTCATGCTGTGATAGGAGGGAAGATGTTGGGTGATATCTATTTTTGTAACGAGTATGAAGGTGTTTTGAAACCTTGTGCATGTGGTCCTCTTGAATACTTTACAGGGTTGGTGATGGTGTATTACAGCATATAACTTTTCACTGTATCTATATAAATCAAACGGAAGGTATACAATATACAATGTCCTTGTGAAAGCATGATTATCAAGTTGGAAAAACAATTTGGTGGAACGTGGTGGTATGGTTTGGAATATGGAGCATGTTGTGGTATTTGGCCATCAAAAAAGAAAAGTATGAAACTTTATAATTCCTTAAAAATAGAATTTCACCCAACTGATTGTTTTAGCACAAGCACTAGCTTTAATTAGTATTTTGCATTTTTTTCTATATGTTGGGGGTACATACAAACGTGGGGTAAAACACATTGCGTTTCCACAACTATGGGATAAACTAATTCAAACGACCTGTTAATTCACTAATTTGTGCCGTGTATATACATTTAGAAAAAGTTGTTCGTGCTTATTGTGGACATGCATTGTCATTCAGACTTAAACATGTGCTTAGCAATAAACATCAAGGAAAATATATTCAACCTAAATAGCTCATTTAAATGCAAAGTTGAATGTGCCATGTTTCTTTTTTGATGGCATGGGGTTTGTTGAACTCTTTCTGGGATGAACTCCAGTGTGGTTTCTAAACACTTTTTTGTCTGTGATGATGCTGATATGGCTAACATTTTTCCTTTGTTCGTTTTCCTGCAGATGGGTACACAACTAGAACCTGCAAACCCCAGAGTCACAATATAAAAAAAATATTATTGCAGGAAGAACAGCCGTGTGGTCGAGTGCAGGTATGAGTGAGTGAGTGTGAGAGAGACCGAGCAAGAGAGAGCGAGACAGAAAAGAGAGCGAGAGAGAGAGCACCGAAAAGCACCGCTAGATTCCGCAGGGGACGATTTTACGCGTCCCAGAGCGTCTCACCCTGCCGAGCTGAGGCAGAGATGGCAGCAGAAAGCTGGATCCCAGCACCTGCCCGATATATGGGGGTAATTTAAAAAGCAAAGCAACAACCACGAATGAAAATATACGGAAAAAAACAACACAAAGAGATTCTTACCCCGACAAGACACGAACAAAAGAAGTTGTCTGCAGCAGCATACAAGATAAAGCAGCAAAGGACCGTGCCCCTTTGGAGCTGTATGAGTGTGTGTGATTGAGATATTCCTGTTCCTTGCATTACAATTTCTTCTTGCGCCTGTGAAGATAAACTGGAGTTACACAGATCCTCATCAGCGAATGTTTGTGTTGCTCAGCTAATCGGAAAAAGGAAAAAAAACTAAAAATGGAAAAAAGTGAAAGTTAAAAAAAAAACTTGCAGTCTAAACTGCACATAGGTAAACATTTAGATACTAAACCACGTAAAGCGCTTTTTTCCCCTTTATTTTTTCTGCAAGTGCTTTTTGATTATTTTTTGACATTTTCCCATCTCCTTTATTTGTAAGCCCAGCCATATCTCCTTCCCCTTGCACCCCACCCCTCCTGTCTTTCTCTTTTGAGTGTCCCTCTGGAATCCTCAACCCTGTGTGGAGTGCTCAACTGTGCTTCTGGAAATGCAAAGTCTTAACATAGCTGTTGGAAAACTGCAGAATCTGAGCCAAAATAAAGGTCCGAAACGCGACACTGGTTGGATTTTGGTCGGCCAGAAATATTAATTGAATAATCTACATGTTTGTAAATGACATCTGATTAGTCATGTTGGCTCACTTTCTGCCAAATGAATGTGAATAAAAGGTCTCTGTCCTGGACCAAAATAGACTTTTCAACTTGTGCTTCCAGTATTTTCTGTGTTTGAAAACTTTGGATGAAAATTTTGAATTATTTAAAATTGGCTTGTATTATTTGGCTGTAATTTTGTACAAAGCACTTTAGATATGTTTTATACTCTGCAAGTTGACCTTTATTAAGGTCCATGGAGATGATTATGTAGGTAGTACTATTTGCAATTGGCCAAATCATTGCTACGCGCATACGCGAGGAGTAAAAAAAGAGAAAAATATATACACAAGGAAAAAAAAATACTTGAAAATGGGGTTTTGTCGGCCTGCCAAATTGTGTGCCTTTCCAAAATGTCCAGGACACAGTTCTCATGAAGCACAGTGTTGGGTGTTCCAACTAACTTGCTGACTTGACTACTTGCGTGTTTCCATGTACTATAGCCTTAGGTTGCACCAAGTCCATTCCTGCAGATCGAAATGGTGTTGCCCTCGCTCCCCCCCCCCCTTAAACCCCCCCCCCCTTTCCCCCAACTCGCCGTGTGACGATGTCAAAAATAAAAATGGAAAGCGCAAACGCTTCAAACCTAGATTGTAACGGCCTGTGCAAAAACTGACATCAATGTGCTTGGCTGTCAGTTTAATGAAAAAATAAAGAAAAATAAAAAAATGCATTTATATCACATTGTGATGAGATTTACTGCCCTTGTACGGTTTTGCAGAAATAGTTTCAGTACTTATCTTTGTGTGTCCAGATGTGCGGCCGTGTGCTCGTAAATGTCCATAATGGGTTGTGTTTTATTTTCAATGGGACTTGCGTAATTAATGCAATTCCTGTCTGGAATAGGAATTAAATAGCCGTTCACTTTATCAAATACAACTTGGGAGTAATAGATCCAATGCATATAAATTCAAGTAGTTTATGGATGTATATAATATTAAAAATAGTATTGGCTGCCTTGTGTTTTCATTGATACTTAAGGTCCTAATTTGCATGCCGACACTGGCGAGGAAAGCACTTTTTTTTTAGCTGTTGGGTGACATTATCGGCCCAGTGTGGTGGAGCTGCGAACACGGCAGGCAGCGAAATCCTTTTGCTAGTTGTGTAAGGTTTTTGAATGTTGAGCATTTTACTTGGTAATGTTACACTCGCAGACCTATTGCTGCTCGTCTGCCTGTCACCGAAATTGACTTTGGTTATCAAAGAGGCTTTAAAAGCCCACTGTCCTGTGCTTAAGTTTTGAATATATGTTCAATACCTTTTAAAAATATATATATATTTACACATAGAAAGCACAAGCACAGACTGCCTTGATGTCAGCGTGTTGCCATCCCTCTACATTAATTATTGACACGGCCCGGATGCTTCGCATCTGCATAAACAACCAGTCACGGGAAGCTTGAGGTTTTTGTCAAGTCTAAATATGAATCTCAAATTTCACTCGGTGTAATTGCACCCCACGCCTGGCTTCCTTTGCTCTTTTTTTTATATCCCCCCCCCCCCCCCCCCATGGCACCTGTTTAGAGATGTGTAAGTGTGTTTGGTGCTCGCCTCCTAAGAGCTAAGGCGTTGGACATTTTGGCCTGGGGTTTTGACCTAAGCCGCCAACTTGGCAGGCTACCGAGTTAAAATGAGATCGCACGTGCACGGGTTGTTTCGGGGCTACAACAAAGCGGCGCTTCGCAATCTTTACAACCAGAATAGAGTTTACGGCCAAGCAGCCAGCAATGCAGTGTCGTTACTACCCTTTGCTATGAGAATAGGGTTTCCCCCTTTTTCTGGCAACAAAACAGGTGTTAAGATGTTAAAACACCAAACTGAAACCTTTTACAAGGAATCATGTCTGCATTAACCACAATACCTGTGGTCATAATGCAAACAAAAAACACTTTGATAGTATATGCATTGTCTTTGAAACGTATTGGTCCACACCAGAGACGGCTTTCTTTGGAGCCTAGTCTCAAATGGTGTTAGACCAGAGGACGCCAAAAGGCGCACTCTAGTCCAACGTAAAAAGGGGAAACATTCTCATTTTGGTACTGGCAAAGGAGATCCCATGAGATCCCCTTTGCTAATTAATAATGTTCTTTATCCTAAAAACGCCCCATTGAGTCAAGAAATTTAAAATAGTTCTCTGGATTAGTTCTGGAAAGGGCCCTCCATTGGGATGTTTGGCCAATTCCACTAATGAGCGTTTCGCATGGAGGGGGAAACGGCGACTCGGAGACGACCCCCACATACAGGGAGGGGGGGGGGGGTAACAACACTCAAAAAGGCCACCCAGAAAGGTTTGAGAACCAACCGGCTTGCTGCATTGCAATCTCCTGACCGCCCGATAACCCAGAAGGTTGGCTTTGAGTGCGTTCGCAACTCGACTTCATCTCCAGACCCTTGCCTCCGAAGAAGTCTACGGTTGTGAGGCACCACGCCGGGAGAAATCCCACTCCCCTGGTCCACGGAATTGGCACCCCCAGACTTCCCAAGGTCACGATGTTCGTGATCGCAGTTATCAACTGCTACCTCGCAACTCCAAAAAAACCCACCGCACTCGTGGTCTGGTGCGGCAGTTAAAACGATGATACAGATTTATTAGATCCCTCCCCCCCCCCCCCCACTTGTTCAGCCAGCAGCTGTTCCATCGTGACGTCTGGCCGGCGTGGAAGTGGACCGAATATCCGATTGAAGAGTTCCCTGGAGCTCACGCTCGTGGATGCTCTTCCGCTAGCAAGTAATTGCAGGGCTGCGCCTTTATCAAAGTGTTCTGTTGGTCAAATACCTGAATCCAATGCGGTTCTCAGTTGAGCGTTTGCGCTTGTATCGTTCGCCCATTGGGTGGCGTTGAGCTCGGTTCAGAGGCAATTGAAAGGATGTTTGGCTAGGGGGCGACATTGTCACAGACAAGTGTTGCGCGTCTTCTGTCAAAGTGAGCGATGTTTCTGGTATTTTGCATTGACGAGGCGTGGTTGTACACGAACTGCTTCGTGCGACAGGTTATCACGTGAGAGAGCAAGGCTTCGTTTCTTGCTCCGTGTTTGCCGGCTTGCTGGTAGACGGGAGTAGGCGCGTGAGTCGTGGTGGCCAGAGCCACTCGTTGACACATTCTGGACGTGGTGTGTCGGGTGCGGAAACGTGTTTTCGATTGCCGGACCCCCTAAAATTACGACCTGCGTGTGTATCCCAGGCACTTGTGGTGCGATGGGGATTTAAGAGAGAAACTCGCGTGGAGTTGTATAGAAGGAGTCCGGGCGACGGTGGCCACACGCACGTCTGTGATCCGACAGGCCAGGGTTGGTGGATCACGCAAATGTTGCGAAACGCTCCTTCGCGTGGATGTCGAGGAGGTGCCGTTTACCCTGTGGGTTCGCAAGGGGAAGGCGGGGCAGCAAAACTGCGTACTCCACCGGTTCCGTTTGTCTGGGATCGAGTGTTGCCCCCTCGCACGTGTGTGCTTTCTCCGGCTGCTCCAGTTTCCTCCCACGTGTGAAACACTCATGAGTTGGCCGATTACACCTTGTATATTGAGGAACCGCAGAGCTTGGGGAATTGTTGGCACCGGCTCATCGCGTGGCCGCTGCCTTCCCGCTCGTCTGTGGTTCATCTTCACACCTCTGAGTCGTTCTTTCTCTTTGGGAGTGAGCGAACACGGTATGCGTTACAAGTTGAAATTACTATCGTTGTTGAATACAGAGTGCTTAAAAAAATGTTTTAACACTTTTGAGAATTTTCAACAATCCCAACATTAATGTGCCGCCTCCGGGCTCCAGAGACCACCTGAAGAAGATTCAAGGCACACGTTGACAACGATGGCGAACAAGTGGATACTTTTTGAAGCTATTAACATCACATTTGTTATCGTGTTACAGTGTATTATCCGTTCCTTTTCCATTCAAATCGATGGACCCATATACGTTTTAACATTTTTTGAAGCACCCTGTATTACGTCTGTAAACCATCACACTACAGCTTGCACGCCTCTTCATGATGAAGTGCTCGGTGAATGGCGTGGGAAGCCCCCGATGTGAGCGCTTGCTGCCACAACCCCGCGCTTACACGTCGCGCTAAGTGCGGACTTGTATTCGCCATTTGCGAAAGACGCTGCTCATTGAATGTGCAAAGGTTGTTAAGTGACGGCCCTTTTTCAATCCACTGCTGGATGATGGCGTTACGACGCCGTGCCAGTCATGGGGTCCTTTTGGCCATACTGCACCAGGCTCGTCAATACGTGTTGGTTAAGATGGTGGGAGGGGGCGGTGGGGTTGGTGGTGGGGGCAGGGCCGGTTCAGAAATCACTCGCCACTGATGTTAGCCGTGGCCGGGAATCGAACTAAAGCCGCCGGGTCCCAAGCCCAATGCAGAATAAGAATATTTTCAGAATCAGACGGTGTTTATACTGGAGATGTCCAGTATTTCACTACCCAGGGCGCAACTGATGATGCATGATAGTCTCTGGTGGTCAGGAATCGCATCCTAAGTGCGAGACTCAACGACGCTTCATTTTACACACACACACACAAAACATCGATTTCTAAAATCGATACACTTGTTCAACTGTGCAATATAATAATGTATTGTGCGTATCCCACTACGCAGGGTTCACCTCGACTCTGCAATAAAAGTGTTTGCCAATCATCAGACGCGTGGAGCATGTGACGTCTCAAGTTTGTGTTTGAATGGACCTTGGGAGACGCGTGGAGAGAAATCCCTGCGCATTGTCCATTCGCTGCTGAATGAGGTCGTGACCATTATTTGACCAAACCTCACCACCCTGGGCAGTGCATTACGAAACATGCAACACTCGATAATAACACTGTGGCCTTAGAAGTAAAAACAAATGATAGTCGACGTTTCGGGGAATGTTCCTTCGCACATCAATAGAGGCCAAAGAGACAGCGTGGATTCGATTTTGGAGATTCCACTGGCTTACACGAGGAGACCTGATAAGAATTACATCTTAAACATGTTGCCCGATTAAATCTTGACTTTTTCCACCTGATGACGGTCGCTTGTGTTGCGATCGAAACGTAGTTTATTTAATTATTTTTGAACGTGACTACTGAAAGACCTAAAGACATTTTTTACCGATTAACAGTTTTTTTATTGCCATGAATAGTTACCCTATCAGTAGTTATTGAGTAACAGACAAACCATTACATTCTCAAACATTTTACTGCTGCATACTCTCATTTGAATTAAAAGTAAAATTAGCAAATGTATTTCCAAGCAGTGCATTGCGTGGTGGCGCTCGCCTCAAGCCCGCGGCTGTGGAGGCGATGGGTTGGTGGTTCACTCGGAGATCGCGGCATGCGCGAAATAGCGAACCAAAACTTTTATGCAGGACGACCACGACAGAAGCAGCCCAGTGGGTTACAGTACAGCAAGTAGGCTGTTGACTCGTCCGCGGATTTCGGGAGCATTTATTTCCCTGCAGTTTTCCACGCGCGCAGAAACGACTCGACGAAGAGGTGCCGGACGAACATTGAAACACCAGGACCCTCCTGAGACTCGCCGAGGTTGTGCGTACACAAGTCAAAGTGACCAGTGGCGCCGTTGTTGGAGAACACAAATACACAAACATACACCCGTCTGTGCACAAACCAGTAGTGTACGTGTTTGTTACACATCCCATCAGCGGCACTGCCTTCTGGGAGCGCACAACTTTCAGCACCGTTGCCTTTTAACATC